CCTTTTTCACTTCTGCCAGTTGCTGAATCTCTGCACCTCCATCACTTTGAAAAGCGGCCTGAAATCCCTACCTGGGGGGGTTGGGAAGCACCCAGGCAGGACCCGACAGGCCTCCCTCAATCACTGTGTCCGCTATAACTGTGGTCCACATGGTTCTGGAAAGCAGGGTTTATCCTCCGCATGTGCTCCATGTCCCCAAAACGGTGGGAACCTTTCAGAAAACCTGGGGATGACATATCACTACAGAAAGTCTAGGAAGAAAAGCAGGGAGCCACCCCCTCCAGGGATCCCCAGTGGCACTGGGGAGCTGCCATGGAGTGACCAGTCCCCCAGGACCTCGTCCCCTCCCCATCATGCTTGTCCCTCTGCAGCTGCCCTCACCCCAGGGACTTCCGTTGAGCTCCTCAGACATCAAAGTGAGCCTCGCATATCAAGGAGGCCACAGAGTGCAGGGTGTAAAGAAACCCCTCTAGCGGCTACAAACACAGTAGAAAGCAGCCAAACACACAGTGTTCTTCACCTTGGCAGGCAGGACCTGTCCCTTAAAAGGTTCCTAGGAGAGTCAAGGCTTGGCTCAGCTGCTACAAAATGGGGGTATCCCCCACGTGTGAAACATCCCCATGGAAAGCTCCAAAAGCAGGGGGAAGCTTCCAGCACCACACTCACTACCACTGAGCGTCTGGATGCTGGGCTTCGTGCCTGCCCAGGGCCACCCACAAGGAAGGCCTGAGTGTGATCAGTGGGCCACTGGAGGCCGGACTGAAGAGCCCAAGAGAAAAGGATGTCCAGAGAGCCACCAGGGTGTGGGTGGGCCCAGGCTCGGTGGGTGCTTGGCCACAAAGGGGCTCATCAGTGAAAACCGTACCCAGGAGTCTTTGCGACTGGGAGCAATGGGATGAAGTGAGCAAGGGGGTGGACAAGGGGCCACGGAGCTCACCTGAGAAGGCCCTGGTGGACTAGGAGGAGGCATGGGGACTTGGTCCTGTGGCCTGGGAACCTGGGAGGTTTCAGAGGGACGAGGCCATTAGTTCTCCAGGCCCCTGGGCAGCGCGATGATAAAATCTCCCAGGATAAGTAGCATTATGTCCCCTCACCGAAAATAATCCCACATGCCCTGGAGAAGGAAATCCCCCTCTCAGCCACAAAACTGGCTCTGATGTATTTTAAGACTGCTGTTATACAGCTGTTAGATTTCTACACTATAGCTCTTACCAGAGACATCCCAGCTACTTAAATCAGGCTGAGTTAAAGTAAATCAAAACAAAACCCTCCTGGGGATGGGTGGGAAGGCGCCAGTGCAGAACCCACACAGGTGAACAGGCCAGGGACGCCCTCCTTACTGCCACACCCTGAGATCTGCACATGCATTTGTTGGACACGTCTGTGTCAGGGTGGGAGCATTACTCAGGACAGGCTGCTGGAAGCCCCTGACCTTTCTCAATACCCACTCCTCCCACAAAGGACTCGAAGTATGGCTCGGGCACAGCGGTTGGGAGTCAGGCCGACTTGGATCCCCATGGTCCCTGGGTCATCCCAGCGGAGGCCTTGGCAAGCCCCGAGCTGCAGTGGCTTCAACTGATAAAGGCAAGGCATGGCCCCTCCCCACCCCAGACTGTCATGGGACCACATAAGACAGTGAGAGGAAAGCATGAATACCCACCACAGAATAGGCAGCCTCTGAGAGCAGCCTCGCCTGCCCAGAAATACAGGGAATAGGGGCGCCTGGGCGGCTCAGTCGTTAAGCATTTGCCTTCGGCTCGGGTCATGGTCCCAGAGTCCTAGGATTGGGCCCCATGTGAGGCTCCCTGCTCAGCGGGGAGCCTGCTTCTCCCTCTCCCACTCCCCCTGCCTGTGTTCCCTCTCTTGCTGTGTGTGTCTCTGTCAAATAAATAAAATCTTTAAAATAAAAAAGAAATACAGGGAATATAGTCAATAATATTGTAATAATGTCTTTTGGTGGCTGTTGGCGGCTCCATTCATCATGGTGAGCACTGACTAATGTATAGAATTGCTGAATCAATATGCTGTCCACCTGAAACTAATATAAGATCGTATATATACTTCAATAAAAAATTCCATAACTTAAATAAATAAACGTATATATGTATATATGTATACTGTGCTGTCATGGGGTCTATCCTGCACTTAGCACTGGGCCAAGAACTTGACATACATCATGAGCTATCAGAACACCTGCCCTGCACCCCCTTCCCACCCCCTCTATCCTTTCGGGTGCTCTAGTCCGACACTCGGAGCCGTTCTTTATTTCTTCTTCTCCCTGGCCCCCACAATACTCACTGTAGCAGCAGGTCCTCCTGGTCCTACTTCCAAAACATCTTTCATTCACTCCTTTCTTGCCAACTCCCTGGGCCATGCCCCACCATCTCTCTCCGGACCACATGATGGTCTCCTAACTGCTTTCCCTGCTTCCCCTCTTGAGCCCTGCTGTCTGCCCCACTGCCAGGCCGTTTCCCACTTTGCAACTAGAGCGATCTTAAAATATTTGGAATTTTTTTTTTTTTTTTTTGGTGAGGTACTTTTTTCCAGCTTTACTGACATATGATCCTCACAAAGTACTTGCAATTCCAAATTTCAAATGGGAGATACATTCACATGGTTCAAAAAGGTTAAAAAAAAAGTTAATACACAAAGCTGGACAGTGAAGAATCAACCCCCCAGTGCTCCCCAATTGTCCGCCCCCTAGCTCTTCAAACAGTGAAGCTCTTCCCTCAGCTTCCTTAAGCAAACACAGCAGCAGGAACACAGGCCCTCATTTCTGCCTTTTCCACCCAAAAGACAGACACCGCACAGCCTGTTCTGTGCTTTGCTGTCTTCAGACAATACCTCTATATGACAGGCACACTCATTCCTCTTTCTGCTGCATGGTGCTCCCCTGCATAGACGGATGGACCATGACACTCCCCTATTAGTGGGTGTGTTTGAGCTGTTTCCAGTGTTTTCCTACTTCCAAAAGTTACTTTCATGAATGACCTTGCACTGATGTCCTTTCTCATGTATGAGGCAAGGCAAGTTCCAGAAGTGGAACTGGTGAGAGACAATGCCAAATGTATCTTCCACAAGCAATGTCTGACAGGGTCTGTCTCCACAAACTCTCACCAAGAGAACGCATGCTCAAAGTTGTGCATTTTTGCCAGTTTTCTCGTATTGATGAAAAACGGCACCTTGGCATAGTTTTGATTTGCATTTCTCTTACCTAAGTAAGGCTGAGCATCTTTCCTATGCTTACGGGTCATTTACCTTTTCTTCCTTGTGAACTAATTGTTTGTATCTCTTGTGCATTTTTCTCTTAGGCTGTTGATTTTTATTTTTTGCCGTTGATCTCTAGATTTGGGGGCATAATTATAAAGGTCCTCTACTCTAAGATTTCAAAAGAAATCTCTCCTGTTTTCATTTGGTACTTAAACAGTTTCACTTTTTACATTTCAAGTTCTTTAAAACATAAATCAGATCACATGACACTCCTGCCTAAAATCTTCAGTGACTTCCCACTTGCACTCAGGATAAAATCCAGGCACATCTCCGCAACAAGTCCCCACTATAGCCACGCTCCTCCTCTTTGGTTCCGTGAACACGAACGTGCCAAGCTCTCTTCTGCTGCTAGGCCTTTGCAACCGCTGTTCCCTCTAGCTGTAATGCACTTCCTCTGCTCCTTCTCCCAGGTGGCCCTTTGTACCCTCTGGTTGAGTCCAATGCCTTCTCCTTAGAGAAGTCCAACCTTCCCTCTGTCACTTTTTCAGCGAATCTTGCGTTTACTCATCTGCATCCAAGTTTACTGTCCATTTCCCTTGCAGACATGAGCCCCATGAAGACTTGTCTGCCTCAGTCACGGCTCCGAGACTGTGGCCTCATGCTTCGCCATACTAGGTTCACTTAACCCCAAAATATAGCCAGCGCCCTCTGCTGCATTCCCATAATGTTCTTGACACCATAAAGTGCCATCACATAATGTTCTTGTTCATGACAGAGTTTGTCTGAAGCCTTGGGGTAAAGAGAGACTAAAGCAAAGGGCAGAACTTAAACCTGGACTTTAGGAAATGAAGCTCCCAGGGCCGTGGGGAGTCTCCTAGGTCTGGGATGCCCTTCACATGCACTCCTTGTGGTCATGTCTCCCTTTTCTGAGTTCCTGGCCTCTCAAACACCTCCAACTTTGCTACACAGGACAGTCTGGCTCCTGTACAGACTGGTAGGGTGGGCTCCCTGAGAAGGACCAAGAGGCTCACTTAATTGCCATCTAGAGGTAGGTAAATTGAGTCCTAGTGAGGTCAAGCCACTAACCCAGGGTCCTCCAACCAGTGAATCTGGAAAGCCAAGTCCTGGGCAATTAGCCCTTCCTGGCTGCCCATCAAAATCATGGCAGCACTGGCCTGTCGTACCAATGGCAACTACAAAGCGGAGGGTCCAGTGGCGCCAACGTGTTCCTTGCGTGGTTTTCTGTGCTCAAGATTTGGTGGGCAAAACGCCCTCCCCTCCTCTCCACCCCCAAGCAAATGATGCCAGCACATACATAATTTAAAGTTTTCCGGTAACTACATTAAAATGTAAAAAACAGGTGGAATCTATTTAATATATTTTATGTGACCTAATATATTCAAACTATTATCACTTCCACATGTAATCCCTATAAAGCAACACAAAGAGCTCTTTACGTTTTCGTCACTAAGTCTTCGAAATCCGGCGTGGACTGTGCACTAACCGCACAACTCAGTTCACACCAGCCCCATCCCAAGCGCTCAGCTGCCGCAGGAAGGCAGGGGCTGCCCGGTGGGACAGCGAACCTCGGACCAGCACAGGCCCTACGCTCAGCTGCGGGTGCGGCGGCTGGGTCCGGCCCGGGTGGGGTCCCAGCACGGGGGGGCGGGGTGGGGGCGGAGCCAGAGCCGCAGCTCCGCCCCCGTCCCCCCCCGCCCCCGGCAGGGGCCAGAAACCATCGGTGGGACCCAGCTGAGCGCCGAGCCTTGCGCCCACCGCGGCCCACTCACCTCGCCACCGCCTCCACGGAGCCAGGGATCGGCGTGCCGCCGTCCTCACCGCCATCGTACAGCACGCCCGAAATGTCGAGCAGCACCCCGCGCACGCCGGCCAGCCGCTCGCCCCACGCGGCCATCGTGCTCTGCCGTGCGCCTCAGACTCGGCGTCCCAACACCCGGCTGAGAACGGTGGCCAGGCTCGCCGCGCAGGGGCGCCTGGGAAGTGTAGTCCTGGACTGTACAGTCCGGCGGGGCGGGGCCAGCGGGGTGGGCCGGGTGTAAACCCGGAACCGCGGGGCGCAAACCCCCGGACCCCTGGCTGCCGCCTCTCCATTTCCGGGTCACACGCCCCCGAAATCGGAGCCATCTCCCTAAGAGAGCTCTGTGGACAAAAAGCAGGAAGAGCAAAAAACAAGCCCCTGGGAAATAGTCAACCCCCCCTAAAAACCAGAGCAAGGCAAATCAGGACAAGGAGGCACCTGTAAAGCAGCAAACGTTAAAGAGATCAGTGCTTCTTTGGTGTCCTCATCCTTTTGCTGAGAGTGTGACAGCCCTAAAAGCAATGGAGATAGACCAATTGGCCGGAAAATCCCACGCCTGGGAAGTGATGCTAAGGAAGTGATTCCAAAGATGGTGAGTGCAGTGTAAGCTCTCACGCCAGAACAAGCTGGAGAAAAAGTCAGTGTGCAAACAAGTGTAACATGGCTACAGAAAGAAATATTATGCCACCAAAAATGAAAACTAGGTCACAACATGGAAACTGCTTGTGTTATAACATACGAGAAAGCAGACTACAAAACTAGTAAATTTTACATTACCAGGCGGTAATGTAGACCACAGCCCTGCAAAATTAAGGATGCGTAGGAATAGGGCTGGGAAGAAAATGGGAACATTGCAGTGTGTTAGGCCAATGACATTTTGGATGAATTGTTACAATCCATGTTACCTCATTTTTGCAATAAATAGAAATTGATGGAAAAGGGGACGTTTCCTTGACTGCCCCTCTGACCTTTCCAAGTATTTAAATTGAAACTTGAGGGGACCCTGGGTGGCTCAGTCAGTTAAGCGTCTGCCTTCAGCTCAGGTCATTATATTGGGGTCCTGGGATGGAGCCCCTGGAGAGGCTCCCTGCTCAACGGGGGGCCTGCTTCTCTCTCTCCCTCTGCCCCTCCCCACACACACTCGTGCTCCTGCTCACTCACTATCTCTCTCTCTCAAATAAAAAATAAATAAAAATCTTTAAATTGAAAAAAAAGAAACTTGAAAAAAATCAGACTCCTCTGGGCGTGACTTAGCTTTGAGGTATCAAAAGAAGACCATATTAGAATGGCCACTTCATTTTAAGTTCTTCAGTCACAGACGGGACATAGAATTCGTCAGAATCTTATAATTTTAACTCAATTCACTGAATTGTGCATATCGTATTGCTAAGTTTACTGGGGAATTTTGTACTCTGTTGATTTTACAGGAGGAATGTAAAATGTAGTTCCTGCCCTTTGGGAATTTACAATCTGGTTGAGGGAGAAAAGAATATTAGACCTTAAAACAGACCAAAAAAAAAAAAAAAAGGAATATTAGCCATGGGTCTTAGCTGCAGAAAATAGAAACCACACCAACTAAAGGTTTACACAGGCAGTAAGAAGCTTACAGATTTCCATGGGAACTGGAGAACCAAGCTCAAGTACTATATAGCCAAGAGCCATGCAGCTATGAGAAATGCCCGACTGCATTGCTCCATTGGGGTAACTTGGCTCCTAAGTGACCAGGGACCTGATAGTACAGGCCCCAAAGAACCAAATCTACCCACCACCATGCCCTTGAAGGATTCTCTCCACCTGTGGCTACCACTTACCTTGCTTTCACCATGTCTAGCCTGGTAGAACCTAGCCCAAGCTGCAAGGGAGTCTGGAAATTGCAGTTTTTAGCCGTCCAGATTCTGTGGTACAGGAGCTGAGTGAGTCAATCTGGGTAATCTGCATGAACATCATGCTGTGTATACATGTATTGAACGTCTACTTTGTGGGCTCAGGGCTCTAGGAATGCAAAAAGGTCGAAGGCATGATCTTTGCCTTTGAGTCAAGACTGCAGAGAACAAGATACACAATGTGTGCCAAGCCAAGGAGCGACATAGCCACAGCTGAGAGGGTGGGCTCTGTTACCCAGAGAAGGCAGCAGTGGTTTCTGAGCCGAGGGACAGCCTGAAATGGACCTTGAAGAGTAGCTTCCTTCCAAGGAGGAGAAGCAAGGGCATTTCTACCAGTGGTGAGGAGCCTGCCCATGGTTCTCCCTCTTCTACCGGCCGTGTATGACCTTGGGTAAATCACTTTCTTTATCTAGGATTATGGTAGACAAAATAATGTCCCTAGAAGGTGCCCGGGAATGTACTACCTTACCTGGCACAAGTAACTTTGCAGATGCAATTAAGCTAAGGATCTTGAAATGGGTGGTTATCCCGGATGATCCAAATAGGCTCAGTGTGATCACAAGAGTCCTTATAAGGGAAAGAGGGAGACAGGAGAGTCAGAGTCAGAGAAGGAGACATGACAACAGAAGTGGAGCTGAGAGAGAGAGAGAGAGAGAGGGAGGGAGTAAAAGAGAGAGGGAGGGAGGGAGAGAGAGAGAGATTCGAAAATGGCCTTGAATATGAAGGGGCCTTGAGCCAAGAAATGCAGGCAGCCTCTAGAAGCTGGAAAGGGAAAGAAATGGATTCTCCTCTGAAGGCTCCAGAAGGAATTCAGCCCTGCTGACACCTTGATTTTAGGGTTTCTTGCCTCTAGAACTGGAAGATAATAAATTTGTGTTGCTTTAAACTGCTACGTTTGTGCCAATTTGTTACAGTAGCAGTAGGAAATGAATACAGGGACTCAGGTTCCTCATCTGAAGAATGACATTGGTCCAAGGTGACAACATGGTATTTTGAGCCACTGACGGACTTGGACCTAGCCTAAAAGTCCGTGACCTTTCTTTGGGTATAATGGGTGAAAGGCATTATATAAGTTAGGGTTTCATTTGGCTGTATGTAACAGAAACCCAACTATAGTTGCTCAACAGAATAGAGATACTTTTCTCATATATCAGGAACTCAAGAGGGAGGCAGGCCTGGGCAGGTACAATAGCTTCCAGGGATATTGGAATAGACTCCTTCCCTCTCCTGCTCGTCTATACCTAACATGAGGCTTTCACCTTCATGCTCTCAAGGTGCCTACTGCTTCCCTAAAACATTATGTCTGCATTTCAGGCAAGAAGGGGAAGGAAAAGGGCAAAGGACCTGTGACAGCTGAGTCTTGCCCTTATACCAAGAAAACAAAAGCTTCCCCAAAATCCTGATCCAATAGACTCTTGTTTATATCTTTTGGGCCAGAGCTAGTTCAGTTAACACTCTAGTGTGTAGAGCTTCGGGCCTGTTATATTTCCAGTTATAAGTCTACAAATCATGTCTGAATTTCCACTCCAATGTGAATCCATTTAATCTTCTATGGCCATAGTAGATGTTGTATAATCCTTCTAGATTTGCTTGTATTAGCTAGGACTCTTTCATTGGCAGTAACAGAAACCCAATTTCAAATGGCTTAAATTTCAAAGGAATGTTTTGGCTCCCATAACCAGATAGTCCAGCAATTGATGGCTTCAGGCATGGCTGGTTCCAAGGCTTAAACGGTAATATCCTAGGCTCTCCGACTCTCCATTTCTCGGCTCTGCCCCATCTTTGGGTTGACTTCCTTCTCTCTCAGTGTGGTCAGGCTTTCTCCAGGCAACTGGGAGAGAGAGCTGTGACAGTTCCAGGCCAAAAGAATGCCAGGTAAACCACATGGGGAAGAACTTATGCCTCAACTTGGTCTGATGCTTCCAGAAAGAACTCTGGCCCTCTTGTATCAGAGCCCCCAAACTCCTCATGTCTGTGTTCAGAGGGAAATGGTACTATGATGATCCAGCCTGACCTAGGTGCCCTACCAGGGCTGGTATTCACAGTCTTACCACACATGGAATTTGGGAGGGGAAGCCTCCCAGCAAAAAGCAGGGCACTATTACAAGAGCTCTAAGGTCTAAAAGTTTGTGTCCTCGAGAAAATTTGTATGTTGAAATCCTACGCCTAACATGATGGTATTAGGAGGTGGGGCCTTTGGGAAGTGATGAGGTCATGAGGATGAGTCCTCATGAATGGGATTCAAGCAACCCGGGGAGCTAGCTCATCTGTCCATCCCATGACAGCACTACAAGAAATCAGGCAGTCTGCAATCTGGAAGAGGTTGGACCAAACCCTGTTGTGCTAGCACCCTGATCTTGAACTTCCAGCATCCAAAATTGGGAGCAATAGGTTTCTGTTGTGTAGAAGCCACCCAGTCTGTGGCATTTTGTTTAAATAGTTCAAGTGGATAAGAAAAAGAAGGAAGAGATACTGTGCAGGCAAAATTAGGGTCCCCCACAGGAAACTTCTATTTTTTTTTTTTAAGATTTTATTTATTTATTTGGCAGAGAGACAGAGAAAGCACAGGTAGGCAGAGCGGCAGGCAGAGGGAGAGGGAGAAGCAGGGTCCCGACTGAGCAGGGAGCCCGACGTGGGGCTCTATCCCAGAACCCTGGGATCATGACCTGAGCCAAAGGCAGACGCTTAACCAACTGAGCCACCCAGGCGCCCCAGGAACCTTCTGTTCTTATCAAAGTTTGTCTCCCCTGGAAAGTGAGACCAGACACCAAGTAAGGTCTGGGTGGGCCAAGGGGTCTTCTATGTTACTGAGGTGGGCCATAGTAGAAAAGAAAGTAAGGAGCCATCGGTCGAGAAGTGCCTCTTAGATTTCCATGTACATTAAAATCACCTGGAGGGCTTACTCAAACAGAGTTTTGGATTTAGGAGGTCTGGGATGGGCCTGAGGACCTGCATTTCTTACAGGCTCCCAAGCAATGCTGATGCTGCTGGTCTCTGGATCTAGATCAACGTTTCTCAAATTTTAAGATACATGTGAATTTCCTGGGGGAACTTATTAAAATCCATATTCTGATTCAGTAGGTCCAGGGTGAAAAGAGATTCTGCATTTCTTTTTTTTTTAATTTAATTTAATTTAATTTTTTAAAAGATTTTATTTATTTATTTGACAGAGAGAGAGAGAGAGATTGAGAGAAGGAACACAAGCAGGGGGAGCAGGAGAGGGAGAAGCAGGCTTCCTGCCGAGCAGGGAGCCCAACAC